ACCCAATTTAGTTCCATAGGCGCGTAGAACTAATACCTTTAAAAATGGTATTATGTCCTTTGAAGAGATATTGTCCATTTCCATTTTAAGTGGATAGGCAGTTGATAAATACCGAAGCCTGAGTCTGGCAAGAGTATCACAGTGACACAGAATGTATTCTGCTAATTTCTCTTATTTTGCTAATTTGTCATTCTGCTAATGACACAAGTCTGCAGCTATCGTCTCTTGTAATATCTAGATTCAATAAAAACCCTGTGACAAATCGGATGCCTTTTCTGTACAGCATTAGTAGCTTCCTAGTTCTAACTTTTGATCGTTTTGGTATGAACTCTTTAGCTTTCCTGCAGGCAATTACATTATCCTAATCAGTCTGAGCTGCTTTTTCCAGCTCATACATTAATAAACTTTTTGGATAGGTCGGTTTGTAACAAACAGTTACTTCGAAACAATTACTTACAGAAAATAGATATTTTGGATATATGAAATTTTGTGTACGTTACCCAATATTTCAATTTATTCATATTGGCATAATTTGAAAAATAGAAAATATCGAACTATGACAATCACTATGTAAATGATATTTTTATATTTTATTCAAAAAATAAGTAAGTATACGAAATGAAAGGAATTTGAATTATCTTCGATACCATAATATATTTCGCGTTTAACGAAATTTCTCGCAATTTTGGGTAGGGGGAGAAGGGTATTTTACAATCAGCTTAACACAATGACTGTATCTTCAACATAGCAATCAGATATTTAAGCCTGAAATTAGATAAACTTAGATAAAGACGCAACGGGAGTTGTGTGTCAGATGACATAATCTACAGAATAGAACAGGCGTAGCCTGAGTCGGAGTCATCCTATCGTTCAAAATCCTATAATAATCGGTATTGTTTGTGAATTAATTTTAAAATTCTAGATTTGGTATATGCAAACTGTTGAGATAAGATTAAATTAATTTGTTTTGCTTTATATATATTAGTTATAAATAAAACTTCAATAATTTGAAACATTTTACAATATATTCTATTTTACATTAAACGGAATTTGCAATTTAAAATGAAATTAAATATTTAAATTTCTTAAATATTTCATATACAAGAAAGGAAATTATTTATTTTACCTCTACTACCCACACACGATAAAGATAAATTCTCATTTTGTTTCTCATATACGACATAAAAAGAATTTATAATTATTTTATTTGGTTTGATTAACTTTTTGATTTGAAAGTCATTTGTGACTCCCACAAGCATTTTTAATCCTTGTTGAACATAAAATGCTCTGCGCATACCTTGGATTTTGCTAATCCAGTTAATAAGCAGAAACACAAAGTGAACAAACATTTAATCCTCACTGCAGGTTGCTCGAAATACGTAATTTGAAGTAAAATAAGCAATTTAATCTTATTACAGATGTCGAAAGTCTTACGGGGAGTAAATGAAATGCAACTGTAATTTAGTTTATTACAGGAAGTAATGTGTTTGGTATTCGAAGGATGCATGACAAATGCAAGAGCTTAGTTCGTAAGTAGAAAGACAATGCATACACTAACCATTTCAATAAGATGGAAGTAAGCTTCAGTCAACTACAGTTCTGTGAGAACAAGAAATTTTTATAATGAAGATGGATAAGATTGCTTTGAATTGAAGAAAGGTGACTTAAGACGTTACAGTTTTTTTTTATTTGTGAGACCTTTGAAGAATAAGTTGTTAGTCGCTCCAATCTTTGTAAAGGAAACTTACGGTATAACCTATTATAAGTATTGTTCTGTATTAACGTGAACAAAAACAAAGTATTTTTTTCCAAAAACACATCTGATTGCCTAAACAAGTTCCAAGTTGACTACCATTAGTTCGAACTAGAGATCTAACTAGCACGCAATCTTGTCAATAGATGCTACTTGGGTTTCCCAGTAAGCAAAAGTAAAAAAGAACAATCTCTCGATAAACACAAATCACGCTTTACAAATGTATTGTTAAGATTGTTGTGATGCATGCAACAAAAATAGTTTGGACAATGACTAGGGATTAGGTGCGGTCGAGTGAATGGCTCTTCGAAAGATCTATATAATTAAAAGTTCTTAAAATGATGACGATGAAGACATTGTCTTAATCAAGCATAGTAAACTTTAGGGAATTTGATGGCTTGGTCATGTTGTACGAAGAGATGAAAATATATAGGTAACAAAGGAGTTTGATACAGTTTACGCTGGTGGACAGCGTAGTATAGTAGGTCCTGTAGTTCAAAATAATCAGTCGTCATTCCATCTGACTGAGTTTAGTTCTATAACTGACGATGACAAATTGCTTTTTACACTGGATGGCAGAGAACGTGTGTAAATGTAACTAAGTAAGACAACATATAACAGTGTTAATATCAGAATATATAAATTTACGTTCATTAATATGTTCTAAACATAACAAAAACTTCTGAACCTAATGTAAGATTTGAACGCCCTAATAACACCCCTTAGGAACGAGTTGAGAAAATTCCAGTTATCAGACTGTAAAAGACTTTAGGCTGAAATCACATTCCAGTAATTAGGGGAAAATATATAAAAAGGTTAGTATTTGAGCTTCCAAATTTATATAAGCATTTATTATTTATTTTATTATTTCCTTAGGTATGTTTTATAAAATAATATTTTCATTCAGTGATGACCGATGATATAAAAGTGTCTATGAAATACATGTTGCTCTTGTTGTTGTGGTTCTAGAACGGTATGAGTTTCAGCAAGATTACAGGGGAGAGTTATTATAATAGACTACTGAATATTGGAATTTGGTATAAAATATGAGGTTCAGGAGGACCTTGTTAGCTAGTGTAATGAACAATAAACCGATTTGATATTATATATGTATCACGTTAATTAATGTAATGAACATAATAAAGAAGTGTAGCGCAGTAGTTTGAACTTAAGACTGCTTGGGTAGACAAATTCCAGTAATAAATGGAATACAATTGTTTAGCATAAATATATAACTATTCCAAAAACTGACGGAATTTTGGACAATTTTAAGATTATAGTGAAACTAGCGATACTAGTTTAGAATACCCCGAAAATTAATATATGTACCATTTTTATTTTTGCAATAGTAAAAGTCGAAAACAATTTGTTTTAGGATTTATTATATATACAGGTCTCTCACCTTTTGGGTTATTACAAGCGTAGATTCCAATATAGAGTATATATAAAAATAAAAACAAATATTAAAAGAATAAATTATATTCTTTTATAAAACATGATATGGTGCCAGATGGGTATAAATGTAAAAAGCTTGAAAAAAATTAGGAGAGTTAAAAATATTAATTTTAAATTTTATTAAGTATAAGGTGCTAACGTTTAAAATGATAATATAATTACTTTAAAATATAAATGAATAACAATTTTATGTAGAACGAGAGAAAAAGAGAAAGGAAGATATATATATAAAGAGAGAAAGGAAAAGAGGGAGAGAAGGGAAGAGAGAAAGAGAGATAAAGAGAGAAAGGAAGGGAGAGAGAGAGAGAAAGACAGAGTGACTACGCTAGTTTTTCAATAATTGAAATTGAGTATTATAGCAATTAAAATTTTAGTGGATCGAAATACTGAAAACTTTTAAAGATATATTAGAATCCAACAAACCCTAAGCAAACAATTGGCATTTCTCTATCAAAATGAAGGTCAGAACGTGTTTTAGTGAGTTTCGTCCTACTAAACCACAACAAAACCAGATAATGTTTGTTGTTCTGCTGATGTAGAATACCTGTTTAGATTGTTAACCTTACAATTATCTAATACTAGCGATGACAATTATCTTAATTCCGCAAATTTGTATGACTGAACCGGTTTCTGCGAAATTATAAGAATATATGCAATTATCATAAATTTTAGTATATCTAGGCATCTAGCAGATCTAGGCATCAAGCAAAACGATACCCGATTTTGGTTTACAACTACGTATAACAATTCATTCGTCACAAAGAGAATTTCCAATACTGACTATATCTTAAGTTGCAAATTTTGGTACATTTTGGGATTTTGAAGGGAAATTTAAGAAACTCGAGTTTTTTAAAATGTTACTCGTTATTCAACTCGTCTCTCTATATTAGCGGTTTCCAACCTTTTTTTTTGACCAAGTTTAAGAAGAATAAACTGAATGATTATTTGAGTATGTTTTATGCTTCTATGGTACAATGTATAATGAATTGTATAAGTGCATAAGTACACTATATATGCTATAAAATAAATATGTAATTACTTGGACATTTTTGGGTGCTTATTTTCTAATCAATGAGGTCTCAGTGGCCAAACTACAAGCTATTTATCCATACCTGATAAATTTGTTTTACCTCTTTTTACCACTGGTTGGGAACCACTGCTTTACACGAACAGGTACTAGTTATTCCTATCAAATCGGTCAGCACTACTAAAAGAAACTACCTAGTAACAACAACAACAATAGGTACTATTCTTCTTGAATAGTGTTGAAAGGGTATCAGAATTTTCTTCTATTTAATTAGTTATTTTTGAATAATTTGAAGAAAAAAATAGGATTTATATTTTCGGTTATCATAAAAATTGCACTACAACTGACATTGGATGAATACAAATCAAGATAAATTTGTGGAATTTACTAGATATGCAATATTTCTCGACCATTCACATTTTCACTTGCAAATAAATACAATAATCTCAAACTAAAACTTTGAACTGAATATTATTCTTATATCAACATTCCGTTCTGTGGCACCACGAGTCTTTCCGACTAACACGACACCCGCACCGCTGACCAACAAGTGCCGGCCACCCTCTCGGAGAGTGGCATACAAGTGTCAACAACTATTTCATCACAAACACAATGCGTAAAGCGAGATTAAGAGGTGATTCATAATAATTTAATAATATGTTTTTATTTAAATTTTTAATTATTTATATAATTCAAATCCTTTTTGTTTTTTGTGTTTTATAGTTTTTGTGTAATTATGAATTACTTATCTGAACATATGCTTACCAAGTAACAAGAGCTTAATATCCTTCGCCGCTTGTATGCCATCTTCCTTGAGATTCTTTTCGATTTGCTTTGAACGTTGGATAGCAGCGCGTTCTTCAGCTGAAGTAGTGCAGCCCATGTTTATTAAATTACTACGTATATGTACACTTATTACTTAACTAATGAATACAGTATAATTTATACTATAAATTGGTAATAAAGTTATTATTACGAGCGTATGATTTTTATTAAACACGAGATCCTTTCTATTAAACAATTAAAAATAAACGAACATCGTTTCTTAAAAATTCGATGGGTTGTCTAATCACTTCTGCAGTTCACACTATAATATAAATAATAATATGGAACCAAGATTTTAGATATAATTTAATGTAATTTAATTGAAGCATACAGTTTTATGAAAAATAGTTTTATTTAAATTAATTGTGTTTGCAATTCAGTCGAAAGCAGTTAGATTTATAATTCCAACTGCCCGAACGTAACAGACTTTTTCCACTAAACATTAGGCAAAGCAAAATATTCCTTAAAAGGTGTTTCAATGGGAATGCGCCACATTTTGCTATTCAGAATTCGTAATGGATATTTTTTATCTTATCGTAGTTATCATTAATTTAAGCTATATGTTTTAATAAACAGATATTTAAATAAAAAAAACGGACGAAAACTTAGTGATTGTCTGCCAAAACAACTGTTTGAATATATGTATGTGCCTGTGTATGCTTGTGTGTAGGAGAGTTGTTTTCGACAGTGCACAATGAACTCATACACAAATTACACACTTGTGGGTACGTACATATGTGTATTGTTTATGCCTATATGGACAAGTAAGTATTCGTATATGAATGAGAAGAAAACTAAATTTAACTAAAACAAATTTTTATTTTATAAAAACAAATATACAATGACTTTTAAATTTTTTATATTTTTTATTGAAAATGGGTGTGGGTGTTGCTCTATCGCGAATTAGATGACACATACATTAATACTCTTCGATTCTCACGCACCACCGGCTTTTAAATTGCAATCAAATACACGACATTACACTGGCAGCTTCACAATGAAAACAAGCAACAACTTTCGACTGAATTGCATTATTTTTTTTTTTTTGATATTAAATAAAATAATTTATGCAACACTAAAACTTTTATTCTAACGATATTGCGGAAAACCGAATAGTACTAGCGACGCGTTAAGGGTGGTGTTTAGGTGTTTTCTTCCCTTTGGCTGTCGTAGAGGCGCGGCGCATGTTCCCGTATACACATTTGCGTCCCCACCTTGTCTTTAAGAACCAAAAATTTTATATTGGAGCTGTGCTGGACACGCAAGTTTTTATCACATTTCCCTTAATTTTTTTTATTTCTTTTATTTTATATTAATGCATTTATTAATTACCAGTAACAACAATTATTATTAATATTTCATACACAATTTTTGTTATTTATTATAATTTATTTATCTCTATGCCAATTTTTCCATAACTTCTTCCCTCGGCACTTAGTTTTTGTGTAATGCCATAATATTGGAATACAGGAGTACATATGCTTATGGTGTCATACACTGCGAATATATTGCGAATGGGCAACCCTTAAACAAAAATTACACAATAGCTACTGAACCATACATTTAATACAGCGAATTTGTTTACAATACACAAAAAGGATGGCATAAGCATTGCTGCGCTATTGCAAACGAGAGCAAATGAGATAATCTAATTGGAATATACGGTAAATAGGGCAATAAAGTGTGTTGGAATAATACACAGGTTGACAATGCTAAATAAAAATATTTCATATGTTGAGTTGTTCGTTAATATTTATTGACATTCACTGTTTGCTTTTTGACAGTTTTAAAGGCGCGTATATTTAAAAATTAAATAAATATTTTGCTTTTTAAAATATTAAACTGGTTTTTAATTATTTGATTGTACTTTTTGTATAATAATATAAAGTTAAAATGTCAAAATTAATATGCTTAAATCCAGAAACCATATATAATTAATTTAAAATTAATATATTTTTTAATGTAATATATATTATTGTCATTATTATTATTTTATTATTATTATTATTATCATTATTATATATTATTTATAATATTATATTTTATATAATATAATTCATAAAAAAATTAATTGAATGGTTTTTTGAAGTAAAATTAAAGTAAAAAAATTTCTTCAAAAAAACATTCAATTTATTTTTATATAAATTATATTATATAAAATATAATATCTTAAATAATATATAATTTTGCTTTCACTTATGTTGTTATTGTATTATGTATAATGAGAGTTGATTAATGTTATAATTAATATGCATAAATATTTTTAGGTCGTGTGCGAGTTCGAGTAAATTGATGATAAGTTGAGGGAAATAGTAAATTATGTCGGTATGGCACCGAATATTGGTATTTACCAGAATTTCAAGTAAGGTAAATAAGATAAAAATTAAGTAAATTAGGTGTTACCATTGCGAAAATTTTATAAGATGTTTAATAATTAAATGAATAAATTTTACTACTTTTAACCATATATAATAAATAAATTAATATTTACATAAGAGCAGTGCAAAAAATCCCTAGAAAATTTCAATTTACTTTACCTCAATTTACTTGAACTCGCACACGGCCTTAGTATAAATATTTATAATTAAAAACTATTATTGATATTTATTGATATTTACTAATTGCCCTTTTATTAGTTTTAAAGGCGCGTATGTTTAAAAATTTAATAAATATTTTATTAATTTTTTTTTCTTTTACTCATTTTGTTATTTAATAAAAATTTTAACTAAATTTAATGAAAAATTTAATAAATATTACCTCTGTATTGTAATAATATAGAATTAAAATGTAATGAATATGCATAAATCTATAAATATAATTAATTTAAAACAGCACTTAAATTATATGATAATATTTAATATTATGAAAGAAACTATTGATATTATTGTATTATAATGTTATATGATTAATGAATTATAATTATATTATTTAGTTATTGATCTAAGCGTAATTACAGAAAATAGTAATATAATTATATTGTTTTACTATCGTTATCAAAAAGTTTCAGGAATTTACTCAGAAAATTGAATATATAAGTTTATTTTTGATAATAGAAATTGTCTCTAAAGTACACTTCGTTGTTTGATATGCACTTATATACTAACACTTGAACCAATCGTCAAAAAACTTTTTATAATCGGATTTTAGTACAGCCATAAAAATCGGTTGGTTTCCCGGAATGAAGCCCGTATGTATTTCATTTAAACAAAAAATAATATAGAAAAAAATCGGCTGAAATCAATAGCTATTTTATACAATTTTTTGATCATAATAATTAAAATAATAGTTGTAACAACTTCTTAGTTATTTATAATTAATACTTATTATATTGTCTGAAAAATAAATTGATTCACTACTGACATTCAAACTTTCCAAACTTACTATAATTAAAAGCTGCTGTTGAAATGATGTCAAAATTTATATAATAATTATAATTAAATATAATTATTATACTATATAAATTTAAAAACTTATTTCATTACAGATGTAACATATGGAATAATTTTTACGGTGTTTAATTGTTGGGAATATTTCCCAATTTATTGTTTGGACTATTTTATATCAAAATCAAAAAATCTTTGGATTTTAATTTACTTTTAATCTAACATTTCAATTATATTTTGACTACCTATTTGAAATCCTTAAATGGCTATATGAAAAGTTAGGCTTTATCGCATATTGGTCGCCATTATCTCATCTTATATAGGTATTCTAAACAGGATGTCTAATGAAAGGTCTACAAGTACAGTATATAATTGTAAGGGTTCATTTGAAGTTATCATACATACTGAATGAAGATGAGGTACTGTATTAATTTTTATTATAATATAAATTAAATAAATAAATAATTTATATTGTTAAACTGACTGAGTATATGACTCCTAAATGAAGTTCACAAATGAAATTAGACTTATCTATAGAAATCATAATTTAAGTAGATAAATTTCAATATATTGGATTCACATATTAAAATTTATCTGTTTAATTTTCGTAGTTTGAAAGGTTTGACATTTAAAATGAAAAAAGAAAAATCTAGTAATATTATACCCTTTTGAAACTATTGGATCTATGATATAGTTTTTGGGATTTTCCAAGAGACATCGTAATTAATACTAAACAATCTTTCAGTATGACACTTATGGCATTTTATAGTATCCCTATTTTACATTAAAACTTAACGCCATTATTTGTGAAAGCATAAACAACATAAAAATAAACGGTATTTGTAGAGAACATTCCTTTTTAATCATAAAAAAGAAAATTTCTAAATATCACCCAAGGAACCATTCAAAAAGACGGAAAATGGGTACCACTTGAACTGATTGAACTCAACATCCTTCCTTCCTACTCCTACCCTTACCCCAAATGCTCATTCACATCCACATCCTAACCTATGTATTCGTCTTGTAATCCTTACATGTTATCTGCTTTTCAGATCACGGCGGGCTACAAGAACAATAACTGAACTTAAAAAGATCGCATCAAAAGGCTAACAATTTTTTTTCATAGACCGCATAGGTTGCCAGAAAGATAATCGAAAGTCACACCCTATAATGACAATGATTATGTTATATTTTAGAACTTTTAGACTCACCTTATGTACAATTATTTTTAGTAATAAATTATGTACATTTTTTTTCATTTAAAATAAATAGTAATATACATATTTAATTTTTCTTTACTCAAATAGTACAGCCTATAGGCTCTGTATTATTTGTATCAAATAATATGTACGCTTCCTATAATAATAAAAAAAACTAATATTATTTATATATCTCTATTTATTAAATCTTAAATTCAGGCAATTAGTTTTACCCTTAACACTAAAGTAATTTTAAAAATTTGCACCGCTTATTAATTTAATGAAGGAAAATGCGAAAACTTAAAGCAATTTTATTTCTACAATAAAAAATCAATTAAATCAATATATGAAAGAATATTTAATATTGTTAATATATTTGGTGCCATTCTTATACATTAACTGATTTATTCGTTCGATTTTTTTTGTGTTTATAGTACGTAAAGTTTTAAGCATTAAGAACATAATTAATTTTTTTTAATATTTTAAAAGAATCGATATTGTTTTATTGCGGCTATTTGCTGGTTTACTTATATATTTTTTATAGAACTTTTATAATACATAAAATAAAACTATTTCTTTTTCTATTTCATTTACTTTTGATAAACATTACATTGTTTTTTTGTTTTTATTAACTTAATGCACCTTACATGCTATACGCTCTATATATAGTAAATATATATATTTATATATATATTGATATACGAAAATACCGAAATTTTTTTAAATAACGTACTCTTAGGATGTTAGTCAAAACAAAAAATTTATTGATTTAACGTATATATTTTAATTAAAACTAATAATTCATTTATAAAATCTTTTTGTTTTCATTTTACAGTTGCGAGTAAATAAAGATATATTTAATTAATTGGAAGAAGGATTCATTAAAAGTTTATGAATGAAAAACAATTTAAAAATAAATTCAATTATGAAGTTAATCATTTTCATTTTTAAAGGTAAACAAATTAATGAATTTAGTTGACAGAAAATTTGTTTAATTAAATAAAAATATATATATTTTTCTTTGCAATTAAAAATCTAATATATATAAGATAAATTTATAACGTAAGCGCTGTAACTAGCACATTCGGATGAGTCGACAGTTCTATTATTGAAATTAAGTCTCAAAAATTTTATATATCGCGGATGGTCAATTTTGAGGAAATATGTCTTCAATATTCACAAACGCACATGCACCGAGCGAAGCCTGCGCCATTACTTTAAGCAATTCGGACGCATGTGCTAAACAAACATCTAACGGCGGACGCCGAGCATAGCTCATTGATTCTGTATAAAAACAAAGAAATATATATAAATTAGAATGATATTATAATAATTTATATTTGTACAAACTTTTTAAAATATATAATTTACCTAATATGGCAGAGTTAAGCGCTGTGCATACATTTTCACGTTTTGTGGGACATAATTGCCAGCCTAAAGGACTTGCCCATGGATTTGAATATGCAATTAAGCTAAATGCATCCTACAAATACAGATATATAAATTTATTAAAAATGTTAAAATTAATGTTTTAATTTTTATTTTTATTCACCTCCAACATTTGTCTATCATCATCATTCATTTTGTTTTCCTTTTCAAGTTGCTGACCCATTTGTGAAAGTTCTTTACCGAATTCTAATATTCTCTCTATGCCATAGCTGTGTTTTCGCGGGGTAATCATATCGACATCTAAAATTATAGTTTATGAAACAAAACGATTTTATAATTTTTTGTTAACTTTTATTATTAATAATATTATTATGAAAAGCGTAATGTTAAATAAAAAATAATCTAATAATTTCTTCATTAATTAAGACTGATTTATGCAATACTATTAATTAATTATTAAAATTATTCACGACATAGGCAAATAATTTCAATTAACATAAGATTTAAATTGTTTATGCTAAACAATAACATAGATTTGATATATTTAAAAATATATATTATCTAAATAACTTAGCACACTAGGTAAGAGGATGTTCTAATAAAAAAAATTAATAACTAATACTAGTAATGATATTTAATTAAAAATCATATAATATTTTTATTTTTAAAATAGAAACAATAGTTGCTGAAATTCACAGAAGAATTGTACTATAAAAGACATTGTATCTATGTTTAATCAAAGGAACTATACACTTTCCCTAATGAGATGATATTCTTTAAGTCAAATACACAATAGCTCATGACAAACTATATTGGCAGTAATCAATTCTTATTACTAACTAAAAATTTCGATATATTAGGTGTACTCAGATATAGTTCGGTAATATTGAAATCTCAGAAAAAAAAGTATTATAAGACATTATCACATCACCAACTTAATAAGCACGTTTAAATACCGCTATTATAATAGACTTCTTGTTGTTGTAACCCACGAAGATCTATCTAGTTAACAAATTTAATTATAACAAATATGTTTATGTATCTAGATGATGATAGTGTGAAAGAGGAGAGTTTGTTTATGATAAAGAATGTAGTGGGGGAAGGTGGAATTACTAATTCTGTTTTTTTAAACAGATTTAAAACTAGGCAAGGAACTATACTAGCAATACTATATCTAGTCGATATTATAATATTAAGAACATTGGAACTGTTTAAGGACTTATAGGGTTTATCTATACTAGCAGTACAATATACATATATTCCGGGAAATGCTTCATTTATTTCACACTCACACTTTATATTGCATTACATACTCTAAAACTGCATAAAATGATTAATAAAATATATATGAGTAAAACCCCTCGATTATTAATATATTTTATTATGTGACTAAGTTATATTTCTAAAAATAAATAAAAATTAGGTATTTATTTAATAACTATTAGTAAATATAAGAAGAAATAAAATTTTTAATTGATAAAGTTAGAGTGATAACCAAGAAACCATAACTCCATTGGTGAGTTTGAAATGTTAATAGATGTTACTTATGCTACTATATAGTCGATCGTTTGATTTTTGTTTTTATATAACAGCTGACTTATAGGAAAAAGTTTTAACAATAAAACTTATTTCTGTCTACACTGCTAACATTTATGTATATCGTATACAGGCAGAGTGAAAAAACAATGATTTTTTAGGTTGTAGTTCAAAGTGTTGTAGCAGCTTCAGTATATTCGAATTTTGGATCGAAAAATTTTAAAACTTAAAGATGTTCAAACTGCTCGAACATCAAAACTGGTTTATGTTTTATTTAGTTCTTATTTCAAATGGTTAACAGGAAATGGTCGAACAACATATGATATTCAAACATTTTTGAATGGTTCGCTGTGTCAGAGAGCGCAAACTTACTAGAAATATCAAAATGTTTGTAGCTGCAAATATACTGAAGAATTTTTAAAACTGATGTGAACATAGGCACTAGTCAGTAAAAGTGCTTTAAATACTAACTCATCAAGTAAAGAATAAGAAGTTTTTAAATGAAAGGAAATATTTTAAAGTAGTTTTATGACAACTAACATAGCGTAATAGACTACCTAAGAGGCAATGTATAGTATTCTTCACTAGCAGTGGAGAAAATAGTAGTTAATAAATGTATGTTAGCCGCAGACAGATGTATGATTTAAGATTTCATATATCAAATGTAGTATAATAAAGTTTTAAAATTAAAACTTATATATTATAAACAATAAATTATAATTAAACTTTCTAAAGATACAAAACTTATATTAATTAAAATACTATTAAACATTCAATGGGTACTGGCTGTTTATGTTGTACGTACCCATATCTTCCTCGATATCTAAAGAATCATTAATGTTTCCGTTTTTACAAGAATTTCCTGGAATTTTTAAAAATAAAATTAAAATGATTTTGAATCTAAAAAAATTTAAAACACTTAAAAAAAAAAAACAAAAATAATAAAATTACTATACTACAAGTGGTGTAATGCACTTTTGTAAAAAATAAATTAAAATTATTACTACTTTTACTATTAATAAATTCATAGGGAAATTAGAACTAATATATAGTTACTCTACAGGATAGTATGAAGCTATTTGAATAGTTTAAATAAAACAATATAGATACAGATTTACAAACAAACAAATATATAATAGCCTGGTTCACTAGGGTTTATTCATATTTTATAGTTATGTTAATTGTAAAAATTATTTCTAAAATAATTCTAGTAAAAAAATAGTTAAACTAATGGATATAAGAGTTAACAAATGCAAGATATTTAACATTAGTTTTCATTTAGAGTATATTTAGTTAGTAACAGTTCTAGTTTTAAATAATAAAGTGATAAGTAAGAATGTAAGAATGAAATATAGATGACATGTGTTATAATCAAGAAGCGTTTTTATTAATAGTTTTCAATAATAAAGTGATAATATTAGTAAAAATGAAATATAAATAATATGTGTTATAGTCAAGAAGGGTTTTTGATAGTTCTAAATTATAGAGTGCTAATATTAGTTTATATGAAATATGAATGATATATGTTATAGTTTTTGTGAAGAAGTGTTCATTAAATTAAATAATAAAGTTTTATGAAAATTAATTTAAATGGTAATACAAGCAGCTTAATTAAAATTTTACTTTTCATTTATGATTTTAATTTAAAATTAAGGTTTGTTACCATTTGTTGTATGACCATTATTTTCCATTTCAACATCATTTAGAAAATCGATGCCTGGAACCACATCAATATTTGAATTATTTGACACATTTTCCTCTGCAGCGGGAACGTTTTCACTAATTAAACTGTGTAAAAAATTATTCATTAAATCATTATTATTGTTTTAATTATTAATTTGATTTCAAATTAAATGCTCTCGTGATTATTTTTAAATAAAATAGTAATTAGGAAATTTTATTATTGTAAGTTGTTTAATAATTCTGGTCTATTAAATTCCAAAAAATTTTTTTTTCATTAAGTTGAATATTGTCTCGTCATCGTTTGTAAAGATAATGTTCAATGACGTCTATGACGTCTACAATATTCTTCCGTCAATTGAAAATGTTATGATATTAGATGTTTTAATACTCAGCATTTACTTTTTTTGTATGAATAGTTATCGCCTACTATCTGTAGGTAGTGGTGGAGTTTGTGTTCAACGAAGAGAGGATATCGTGGTGATAATTTAATCGATCTATTCACACTATTTTAAAAATGTACTCACACATAGTGAATACATTATTATAATATAATTAAACTATGTAGAAAAACTTAAAAAAATGTCATATATCTGGACAGTATTCAGGAGTAATTCATAAGAGCATTCAATACATAATAAAAATATAAACATACAGTGATTTTTTTAGATCCTGTTGATTATCTTCATTTATCACAGCTGAATTTATTGTAGCATTCTGTGCAGATTTACCATTTTGATAAGCTTTTGTTGATTGAATAACTGATGTCTGATTTGGTGGCGTTGTTTGTGTAGTTGTAGAATAAGTCTGTTTATTTGTAGGGCAGTACTGAAAAAAAAAGTACAATAAAATTATTATTTTATAAAACATTAAAAATAAATAAAAATGAAAACAAACCTCAATGTCAGAACCATTTATCATTTCAATAAATTGCCTACATTTTAACATAAACCATAAATTTTTATTATTTTCCAATAGTCCTGGATACGATCTAATTGTTTGATCAATTGCTTGACCCATTTTTCCCGACATAACTAATTTAAGTATTTCTAAAAGTTGTAAACACTATATGTCATAACATTTTTAAAATATGCGTATTTATACAAATATACTTTGGCGGTTTCGTATTGAGGCCATGTCCTCTTGAAAGTTTTGTCCTGTTATTTTTGAAAATGCTTCTGCAGTTTGACTATAGCCATTATGTACCAAATATGAGGAAACCATTCTATTAATAATACGGTAGTAAAATAAATAAATTTGAAAACAATATTCATATTAATAAATATTATAAAATGTTTACTTATGCAAAAGTGTTGTGGGGTCACCTTGCTCAATTGGCATGGGAAAGTTATAAATTGATGATTTCATCTCTTCACGCATTTGTTTCATCATATCTTCAATTTGATCAAATTTGAATGGTTCTTGGCCAAAATTAGCGTCTACTTCTTCGCCAGGTGTTTGTAAACCGACTGTAGGATATAGTTTTGTCTACGGAAAAAAAATATATGTAAAAAATAATAAAAAAAATCAATAAACTTCAAATCCAGTTACAACATTTACAGGCAAATCTCTAAATGCAATGCCCAAATCAATGCCATTTTTAGTATAGAAGCAGGTGTTGTTAACGAAATTAACGCAACAACCAATAACGTCACCAGTGGTGAAAGTTGGACCGTAGGACTGTCCGCTGCCGGAAGATGAAAAAGAATTACCATCATCGCCGTGATAACCATATGATTGTTTATCCCATCCTAAATATAAGTAGTTATCAATCAATATATTTAGTTGCGATATATATGAATTGTATTATTTACCTGGTAAACGATTCATGCGAAATTGTTGAGCTGTTAATCCAATACCCATATAACCGTTTTTACCCTTGGATATGATTTTAACTTCAAAGTAATAGAGACCACATGCTGGTGGTATTGGATAAGCAGTGCGTACTGATGCAGCATCGTTATGCTGCTTGCCAACACCTTCAATAATAAGATATAAATAATTAATACAAGTAATGAGATTGATTTCAAACATATAAAATAGATAAATTCTATTATCATATATAAGTTAGTAAAATTTTCTTTAAAAAGTAAAACACTTTAGGTCACGTTTTGATTAATTGACATTCGCGGGAATTTTTACTTTTGTTTATAGTAAGAAACTTCTCAAAGAAGGAGCTTAAAAACTGAAATGCATTTTATCAGACAGAGAATATTGTAGTACACAAGATCCTTTAAGGTAGAACTACTTTGTTTCACTGCAAATATTAATCTTTATGGTATATCTCTATATCATATATAGAAATACGTATAAACGTATATAATATAGTTTAATAATTTTGGAATAAAGTATGTATAAAATATTAAAAAGTACATAAAAAACCAACTAACAAAGAGAAGTTTATGATGAAATCAATTAATTAAAGTTCAATCCCAAGTAATAAGTAGAATAACAATCAAATAATACTATGGGAAATAGGCAATATTGACACATGTAGAATGACTCTTATAGTGGATTAACCTACGACAGGGAACTACTTTCAAACAATGACGACTAATAATTACAGGTTCTAAGAGCGTACGAGTCCACGTATTGGAATCAGTAGACAATATTACCAACCAAGTGCTGTTCATTACTTTTATTCTCTATTCTATCTCCAATCCAATCACACTCCTAAATAATACCTTTCGTTTTACAATACCACTACCTATCCACAATTTAACTGATGTATTTGTTTTGTAATTTCTTTCATGATATCTGCTTTACAGATCCTTGTGGTTTACAACAACATTAGTCCCATTGAAATTTTTAAGCGGCACTTCACTTTTCGCTTTTTAGATCTAGCAATGAGTGTTGAAATCTTTAAATAAGGTTAATAAACTATAATGCAGTGGGACGTATTAATAAACCTTATAAAATTTATCTCAAATCACATGCTCAAATAAATGAATATTGAATTAATAATGTAAAAACCTAAGATAGTATAAATTTACACTATATAAATAATGTAGACTACTCTATATAAATAATGTAGACCTCACTATATAAATAATGTAGATAGACTACACTATATAAATAATGTAAACTACACTATATAAATAATGTAGACCTCACTATATAAATAATGTAGTCTACACTATATAAGTAATGTAGACTACTCTATATAAATAATGTAGACTACACTATATAAATAATGTAGACCTCACTATATAAATAATGTAGACTACACTATATAAATAATGTAGACTACACTATATAAATAATGAATAAATAATAAATAAATAAATAATAATAAATAATAATAAATAATAATATATAATACTCTATATAAATAATGTAGACCTCACTATGGTATATAAATAATGTAGATAGACTACACTATATAAATAATGTAGACAACACTATATAAATGAAATAGAATGTACTACCCTTCTTATTAATTTGTAAAGGATAGGAATGATATCCTAAAACAGTATAGAATTCCAAAATATAACCTACAAATTCAATATGCGTTTCAAAACGAACTTCGGACTTTATTTGTTGAAGATAAATGTGCTTTGAATTCTATTACTTAAAGGAAGGTTTTTAACAATTATTTATTCTAAAGTCCATAAGTTCTTCAGTTACTTGGGGGAACGGAAATATAAGCGTGAATGAAATACACTCTAAAGAAATTCATTTGAATAGTTGTATATTTTAAAAAATTAAAAAGTAAGAATATTAAAAATAATTATAAATCGGCACTAATTATTATTTTTTATTATTGATTACAAATTATTTATAACATTTCCCCCCCAACTTCTTTATAGATACATAACATTGCTTTCAAAGCAAAACAACAACAAAAATCAGCTGATTTCAATCACTTTTAGCATTTCAAGAAAGACGCGAAATATACACAAAAATGAATACGTAAAACAAAAATAGAAACAAAAACAAAAGAAAGAGCGAGACAAATATGTTTACATTTCCTTTCTTGAATATTTATTTTTTTTAAATGAAAAATAAAGAAAAACACCAATAAAGCAACTTTTAATAAACTCGCTAAGTTCCACCAAATAAACAAATCGAATATTTTATTGTTGAATTGTTTTTCTTTATTATTGTAGGTTTATATAAGCTATAAGCTTATAAGCTTTATATGAGCTATTAAATAATATATGGAAATGCTATATTAAAACGTTTTCCAAAAGGAGGTGATAGTTTAGGGACTCAAATTTTTAATACATTAATTTATTTTACGAGAATTATAACCGGATATTTTCAGTTTTAAGTAACTCACGCTTAATTTCCAATATTTAATTATTATAATAAATAATACTTGCAATCTCAAGAAATTATTTACGAATAATTAAATACAAGAATTATTTCCAAGACCACTGATGAAATAGCTGTATGGGCAGCCAAAAACCAATATCTTAAAATAATATAAAATGATTTTTGTTGTTGTAGTTCACTACTATTCGAAAAAAAACCTCTTTAATAAATAATAATAATAATATTTATAATAGACAGTAGGTAATCTAGCAGTAGTACGATACTAACTAGTAGAAACCATTGGTAGTTTCTTAATTCGAGAAAAACAAAGAATATCTTCTACTATAACTTTTAAAGACTAGTGACCTTTTTTTTCTAAATTAAAAAATTGAATAAACTTTTAAGCCAAAATAAATTACAGATCAGAATTCTAAAGTAGGTAAAACTTTGCTTTAGAAGTAAAGCAAGTGTCCATCATTACTGTTAAATTAATTGACTCTAATCACACATAATATTAAAAATATAGTACTTCGAGAGAAATAACTGAAAAAACACACTATTCATAACAAATCGTTTTAAAAAATATAAAAGAATATTGTAATAAATAGACTAGAAGTGATTGCAGGTAAGAGTTTTTAGAGACAATTACAAAAGTTACACATCGTCAATAGCACATCGTATTAAAAATATAAGAGAATATTCCAATATATTTGTTGCTTTAATATAAAGTGGGTGATATATTTAATGATTACAATGATGAGCTCAACAGCTCAACATTTTTTGGATAGAAGTTTTCATGCAAAGTATTCACTTTTTAGTGAATATAGATCACAAGAGTAATGATTTTTAATTTCTCATTTGATCCACAACTACGGTCATTTGATCCACATTAAATTAAATCCAAATTTTGTCGGTATGATTGCTCTTAGCCAATAGAGCTCATTGAGTATATATGAGGAATTTAGCCGTATCAGTTAGTTTTTACTTATTATGTATCTTTGGTTTTTTTAAGTATTCTGTTCGTATAGCCAGATTACTACGGATATTATATTAATGTTAAAGAATTTTTTGTAGGTAAGCGAATAACAAAATCTATACTTATTGATGTTTAAAAGTTTCGTGTATCAATTTTGGTCAATTCATCGAAGTTGCAATTGCCAAGAATGCATTAACGACATTAACTAGTCGCTATAAAGCAAATTTTACAACAGTTTCATGTTGTTGTTGTTGAAGCCTGCCGGGATCTGCTTGTGTGACTCCTTTGGGGGATGTTGAACGGCGTTTGGTCGTGTTCGACGAGTGGGACCAAAATAGTTTGAAATTATTTTTCATTTCATGATTATGATATCTAACCAGCTATGCATAATGTTCATTTTTAAATATACTTGGCCTCTCTGGTACTCATTATAAATATCATAATATGGGTCTATCATATTTTTGTAGCATTCACATGAACATTAATGCCAGATTTTTTATATATAAAGTATATGTGTATTATATGCTATATTTCTAATTACTTTTTGAGTTATAATATAAGAATATATAATTATTCCAACCATTATTTTGTGATATTTATATATATATTAAATGTAAAACATAACCATATAGTTTTCAAATCTTGTTGATGAGTAACAAAATCTTATACAATATATACATTTCATATATGACTAATTCTTTGCACCCATTATAGACACAATATCTTGTTTATATTAAATTTAAATAAACATTTGAGTACTTTGAAAACAATACTTTCATTATCAATAATTTCACTAATAAATCTGTTTTCTATAAAAGGCAAAATAAATTTCAAAGTATTAGATATATATTTATAATTAAAAACTGTTTTTTCTAAAAATACAAATTTACTTACTTTAATGACTAATACAAAAATATATATATGCCACTTTTTCGACGTGTTGCTATAACAAAAACAGTAAATTACAGATTAACTCAGTCAAGTAAATAAATAATAAAATCCTTAGAAACGTTATTTGAGACGAGCGAATTTTAAGTCTGATATTCTAACCTATTTCCTAATAAATTGTTACCAATCAATGACTTTGTGTTTGCAATCGGTTGAAATACATAAAGAAATATATTTCCTTACGGAATATAATATATGTGTGTACCTACAGAACGATTTTAAACAAGTCAAAATATTTCCAGAAAAAAATATATAAAAAAAATGCTTTCAGAAAAAAATTATATGTATATAAAAAAAATAGACCCAGATATATAAAAAGAAATAATTATATTTAAAAATAATACTATGGATGCAACCCCAAGGCATCAATATATTCAAACACCAGTCAGAGACAAGGGTTTTTTGCCAACGTAAAATTAGCTATATCAATACAATAGACATCGCCATTTTTTCATAAATAAATTCCCAATAAAACAATAATTTCATCTCAGAATATCCATTACACATGTCTAAGCTATTTTTTCTAAACTCTTAAGCCGGCTATCCTATGTAAAAAAACAACAGCTTTTATATTACAATAATTGAGGACAGTGACTAGTTTGATTAAATTACTCCATTTCAATAACGGCCGGGTCTACGTCTCCGAAACACTCGTCGAGTTCGACAACCAAGTCCTGTTTAACAATCTCAAAATGGAACAACACAAGTAGAACCCAGATCTCTGCGGCCTATAACAACAACATTTTACATTAAATTAGTTTTAATTTATTTTATTCATCTGTACAGATATGGCTATGGACTGTAAAGATCTGAGTACTATAAAAAAATTAAGGAGAGGGTTGATACAGTGGGGTAGCGAAACTCTAGGAAAATACTTATAAAAGTAACATTTAGGGGCTTAAATAACGATACAATTCTTGAGACGTTACCGCACAAGGAGCACCGACTCTAAATTGTAGAAAACTAGAAGAATGAAGAAGAATATTTACTTTGCTAATCGATGTACAATTAAATTTTCATTGAATGTGAATGATAACTTCCAGACATAAAGTAATCAACATAATCAAAGGAAGAAATATATTATTAGTATTATTTTTGAAAATATTTCAAACTTACCTTTGTAATGAACGCGTAGATTATTTTCTGATAAACCAATAGACAAACACTTGTCATGTTGACTCCAACAGCGTGGTAATGGTGTCTCGTTTTCATCAACATTTGGATATAACATTTTAAGACGATCTACCGATTGGTGTTGGTGTGAGTTGCCAGTTGTACCAGACATTGGCACACTACTATCGTTGTTAGTGAACATTATTCGGTCGTTAGTTTTATTGGAGTCAAAAGCAAATGTACCGGAAGTACCAAATCGTGTATGCTGATGTCGATTATGTTGATTAGAATGATAGTAAGGACGAGAAAAGTACGAAGAGCTTGTTTGTTTGTTATCTTGTTGTAGTAACAGTGGCAGTGTTGTGGGAGGTGTGTGTGATTCGTGAGTTACCACAGCTGTATCAATGCCGGCAGATGTAGTGCCTACTAAGGGCTGTGGTGGTTGACGACTTGTGGTGGAGGAGGATGGTTCTGCATTCAATTGTTGTAATTCATCGATATTATCAATTGTTGATGCATCAATTGTATCAGCTATAGCGTTATCGTCTATGATATTTTCTTGTTCTGATCCTTGTGATGACGATGGTGCGTGTTGCTGGTGGGAGGGAGGAGGGAAATGTTGTTGATGTGGGTGCTCAGAGTGTTGGTGATGAAAGAGGTGTAGGATGTGTGACGATGATGACGACGACGATGAGGATGATGAAGGAGGTGGTGTTGTATTGTTATTAAATAATAAAGGTGATATAAAAGCTGAATTATCTGAATGTTGTGGCTGTCCGGTCGTTATAAATTCTAATTGTTGATTATTTGCTGTATTTGGTGGCGATGGCGGATGAAACGGCAAATGCTCAACCACATCTTCATCATCTTGAGAGTGCAGTATAGGTAACAACGGCAAATTAACAAGCAAATTACTGCTGCTGCTGTTGTTGCTGCTACTGGCAGAAGAGGAATTCGGTTGTTCATTATCATTTTCAGCATCCATTTCCTTTCCTTATATATTTGTTTGTTTAAATAAACTAGAATATTTATTGTATATGTATATTTCTTTGATCTCTCAATTACGTACAAAATAACGCAATTAAACGCAATAAAAAAAAACTCTTTGTGATCTCCTAAAACAAACACAATTTATTCGCAAAACTCTCATCATCATCGTCGTCATCGTCATACATTTTTTTCATTTAAAATAAAACCATTTACACATATTGAATATTTAACAATTGTAATGCAAATTACTTACGTTTATCTATAAAAAGTTATTTACTTATATATTTAAAAACTGCAAATTCTAGACTCTAGAGGATAAAAGTAAACTATTTTGTTTGCCTTCTGAAAGACCAAATAATATGAAGTGTTCAGATCTCGTCCTATGAAATCTGTCTTCTGTCAATTTTCTCGTCTCGTACCAAGCGTTGGTAACAATGTCAATTATTTACAAAAACAACAATTTATGACACTTCCCAACGCAATTGCAAAAATGTGCATTGATTGCATTATTCGTGTCCCTTAACAACTTCATTTACGGCAATGCCAGCAATATTATTAAATTTCTGTATATATATATATATATATTTAATCTGTCTAAAAACAGCTTTAACCTAGAATGTTGGTTTGTACCTTACAAAATGCAAAGATGAGTTAAGATTTCGAAAGTGCTGTGCCTTTTATTAGGAAATGTTGCTATCGAGTTGCCTGCGTAAATTTTCAAGGTTACACTGACCTGACCTGAATATGCAAACATATACATAAAATTGCATTATATGCAAACTGCATTTAAAGCGTTTTTCCCAATTTTTCATATTAATCACATAAAAACTTATTAGTGCCACAATGGCCATAATAAAATACAACAATAAAATTTGCAATTACAATTGAAAATTTTTATCAATATGTTTTTATGGTGTGATAATTATATATATATTAAACTCACGATAAACCCGTTAATAGTTTTAGTGAATGCCGTTTAGCATTTCTAAAACTAATATTATTTTACAATTTTAAAAATTTAATTCTGTAAATTTTTCACTTTTTACGTCGTTCCAAGTTTTCTTTGTTTTCCTCTGGTTAACACACATACACGCACTTACTTTTTTTATTGTAATACTTCTTGTGCGCTCTTTCGTCTAATATCTTCTGCACTTTTCTTTGCTTACCTTTTTGAAAATATTGTTTGAAGTATTTTTCGGAATTAAACTTACTTTTAATATTTTTGATTAAATTTTAGTATTACTACGTGTACACATACGATTTTACACAATAATATAATCATAATTCATTCGGACTTTTTAATCTAAGAACTTCAACGCAGTAACTAAACCAAACAGTTTGACGTTTTATTGCTCCCAACTTAACAGAAAAGTGTTTAACATTTTATGTTTTTCTGTTTTGCTGAAATTTAGCAACACTTTTTGCATAGAGTAATGATATGGACACTTGCCAGATGTTCGAATTTATTATAGTGGCCATGTGCGAGTTTGACTAGATTAAGGGAAATAGTAAATTATATCGGTATGGCAGCGATTGTTGGTATTTACCATAATTTTGAGTAGGGTAAACCAGATAAAAATTAGGTAAACTAGGTGTTACCATTGTGAAAATTTAATAAGATGTTTAATATATAAATTTAAGAACTTTTAACCAAAAATATTATATAAGTACAATATATAAATAAATAAATATTTACATAAGTGCAGTGCAAAAAATCTCTAGAAAATTTCAATTTACTTTACCTCAATTTACTCGAACTCGCACACGGTCAATAAAGACATTGATTATAACAATAAGCGTAATATTTTCTTACACAGTTGTAAAAAAACAACATTAAGTCTGGTTGAAAGAAATTGACATCACTTTTAAAATACGTTAAATACCTTATATAATATTATATAATATGATATATAAAAATTGTAAACACTAAAAATTAATTAATTTAAATACAAGAAAACACATATGAGGTCTGTTCCACGAGCTACTCGTAGTAAAACTGAAGTAAAACAAGTAAAGTACAAACTGAGAGCGTAACACAAATAAAGTGCCAAATTTTGTGGTTTACACAAATGTTCATAGAACAGCTTTGTGTGAAGTCTGGTGAAAACACTAGTGCCGCACAAATAAACAATACAAAAATTTAAATTCAAACCAAAACAGCTGATTTACATACACATCATACAAATTTTACTTGAAGTAAAATTTACCAGTAAAATCTGTGTAGAATTTTAAAATTTCGACGAGGTAGTTATGCTCTCTTAGATGCTCTCATTTACTCGAAAATTTGCTTTTGAAACGTATTTGTGTATACACAGTGTTACTCAAAGTTACTACGAGTAGCTTGTGGACCTATGAAAATTAGAAGGGCAATGGTAAGTATTTTAATCTTATATATTTAAATAAATGTATTTATTTATGTATTTGAATTTATTACTGAATAAAATGCTCATATGATTTTAACAGGTGACTGGAGTTTTATAACATATTTGCAGTGAACATTCACAATAGACTGATTTTTCAAATTGGCTGCACTGAAACTTAATACATAAAATTTTCTAGAAGTAAAACCTAACTCTAAAGATTTTAAGAGCATTGTTGTTGCTTCATATGTTTTCTTTTGTAAGTTACGAGTGTTTTTTGCTACTTTAAAAGAAGAATTTATTATTATTATTATTGCTATTGTTTTATAGCACCTTCAAATTGTCTCATTTAGGCGGTTTTGCTTATTATAGCCACTAATGAGGGTGATGATTTATCATACAAAAATCTTTCATATAAATGAGCTCATTCATGCCGAAAAATGTCAAATGCAACCCTTTAAAATAAATTTCCCATAAAGGAATTTACCAAAATTTGAAATATTTGCCAAATTTGATCAATTTCGTTACAAGTTTGGAAATTTAAATTCCAAATTATTAAATTTCACTTTATTTTAAATTAATAACAGTTGCAGTTTCTTTTATCTATATTTAAATTTAAGAATTTGTACTATTTTCAAATTATTTTGCTGGTTTCATTAAAGTCAATTGTTTTCTAAAAAAAAAATGGCACTTTTCGTTACCTCAACTTATATTTTGCTTAAAATTTAACTTTCGCATAGTTGCATTGAAATTTCCCTTAATTTCAGGTTTCTTTTAAAACTAAATTTTGTTTGGAAAAAACAACTTACTTTCGCTGAGAAGGAAACGAAATTAATTTTTTGCGAAATTAAGGATTGTCTGAACATAGTGATATGTTTTGTGTTAAATGTAAGCAAAGAACAGCTGAGCTGTGTACAAAGGCACTAAAGAAGTAAGTATTTAATAAAATCTTTATTTTTATTTATCAATTAATATATTAATATGCTAATAAATATATTAATTATATACTTTGTTTATGTGATATATTATTAATTGAAGTTTATAAAAGTTCTATCCGCTGCATAAATGAGCTCATTATAATGTGAACATTCACTCATTAATAGAAATGAGCAAGTGTCTACATGATAATAATTCATAATAATTATAATTCATACTGTTTATATATAATACTCATTGGCAACATATTCAAAACAAATTAAATAATCTAACATATGACGAACTTAGTAGTTCCTTATGGTACGTTTTCACTGACATCGTTACACCTGTTAACTTACTTGAGATGCAAATAATTCAAGGAATCTCAGGCAAGTTAACTGGTCGAACAAAGCCAGTGGAGGCATACTATTAAAAAGTACAAAAGTTATTTTATATACTGGTATTATATCATGTTTCCACTGCATTTAAAGTACTGATGTTAATGAAATTAAGATTTGGTTGTTTCCATTAGCATATGCAGATTTATGCATGTAAAATAGCTTGTTTGTTTAAATATATATAAAATATATGACATAAATTTCATATTTTGGTAATTTTCCATTTGGGAAATTTATTATTAGGGTTTGTCGAACACACTTTAAAAAAATTACCCAAAATAGATATTAGGGGTATTCAAGACCTTTATGAATTGTTGAATGTGGCAAGAAAAACTGAAAAGTGGAATATATTGAATACTGTGCTGGATTTTGCTGATGCAGAATTAATGGGTTATTTAAATTTTTTCATTTCTATGTATAATAAAAGACTTTCTTTGACATATAAGAGATACAAAATCATACAATTATTAACAAAACTTGACAGTTTTGCTAAAGTATTGCGAACAGTAAAAAAAGTAGTATCATTCACAGTCTTGTAAATCACATATGCAATAGGTAGTTGATGTTGAAAATATGGTCTTGCATATCGCCTTGGAAATTAATTGCAGAATTATAAAAAAGGAATTGTTTTTGTAAAATTAAATAATTTTGCATAAGCATAGATCCACAGAGATCTTAAATACCGCTATTATCAATATTTATATAAGTTCCTATTTCGGAACGCGATAGCAAAATTAATTCGCCGTACGATTTATAAAAAGTAAATTGTTATAAATGATAATAAAAAAAAATAGAATTAGTTGTAATATACAATAGTATAAAAAAAATCATTTATTGACTACGGTTTTTAAATGAAAAGTAGTAGTATTTCAGTATATCTCTAAAACCAGATTACCCAAATATTGAGACATATGTATGTATGCATATCAAAATAAAGCTTAAATTATTTTCTTTAAAAATATATAAGTTCCAGAATATCTTACGTATAAGTTTTGGACAATTTAAGATTGAAAACTATATATCAATAAGTTTATACTTCGCAAATAATTAAAAAAATAATATTTAAAATATCATATCATTCACTTAAATACGAATTATTTATATATACGAATGACACGAGAAACGAGCTAAGCATTTTCAAATAGGCAATACAATTAAAAAAATTTTGACATACAGAAAGTGGGAATTTTTATGTCCAATTAATTAAATAATTAACAAAATTAAATTTAATCAGAAATCCATAGTAAAAAAAGGGAACTGGCAAACTTAAAATATGAATTCGCCGTACAGTATTAGACAACGCAAAAATAATAAAACTTTATGCAAAATAGTGTTGCAAGAGTTGCAGAATAATGAAGAAATAAGAAAAATGTACAATATTAAATGTATTAGGAACCCATATATTTATATGAACTATAAAGATGAAAACATTTGACTAAATATAACAAAAATTGTATATGATATGAATGTATTATAATATAAGAAAAGAAAATGTATATGTTCATTATATATATAATTTATATTGTATTTCAATTTTATTAAATTTGTTAAAGATTAACTATATATAGTAATTACACAACTAAAATTAAGTTTTTAATTATGCATATTAAGAAAAATTAATAATAACACTTATGTAAGACTCACATTTCGTCATAATTATGTAAGACTCACATTTCGTCATAATTATGTTATAATTTTACGACCCTTATATAAACGTGACCTTACAGCACACTATATATTGTTATATAGGACGTGTGCGAGTTAGGCTAAGTTGATGCTAAACCAAATGGGAGATTTTTTGGGATTTTTTGCACTGCACACATTTAGCTATTTATCAATATGTATCGACACATCACTAAATTATCGGCACAACTTAGAATTTCCCTCATTTAGAACGCAACTTAGCCTAACTCGCACACTATGGACATGTATTACTATTTATATTAAAATGTACCGATTGTTAATATTATTTTTATGATAAAACAACAAACATATTACAAAAATACTTAATATATTACTAAACTGCAGTTTGATATTTAGGCCGCGTAAATTTGTGAGAAATTGTAAATTGGGGGAAATAGTAAATTGTGTCGGTATGGCAGCTAATGTTGGTAAATACAAAAATATCCAGTAGGGTAAATTAAATAAAAATTAGGTAAATAAGTTAATACCATTGTGTATATTTTATAAGATGTTTAATAAATAAATAAATAACTTTTAACAGAAAAATAATAAATAAGTGCAATAAATAAGTGTAAATAAGTACAGTGCAAAATTTATGTGTAACTTTCATTATAATTGATTGTTTACATTTTGACATTGCAAGCTGCAGTTTAACATTTATTACAGATCGAATGCAAATAGTACTTTTAATCGCAATAGCAACACTCTTTTTAATTATTTGATTTATGAAAATTACATTAAAAAAATTGCACTTTAAAAATACAGCAGCAGAGTTTCGTATTTATTAGAAACATCAATACAAATTTTACGTTTGGTATTATTGACGATATCGTGCGGAAATCAAAAACAAGTGCTTATTTCAATCTGTTCTTTTCGCGTGCCATTCGTATAACTGAGTGATTTGTGTTTGAATTAGTGAAGCTGTTTTTTTAATTTTTAATATCATCATAATTTAAAAATTATTAAATAATTTTAAAAAATGTTTGTGTTTATTTTAATCAATAATTCTAAGTATATTTCAGCTTTTATTTTTTAATTATTTGTTTAGTATAAGCTAACTGATACTTATTTTTCAATTTCAAATTGTGAAAAAGTCAGACGGCAAGATTTTGTGGAATCTATATATTTTAAAGGAAAATAATTTAAGCTTTTTTTTTGACATATATCAATGTTTACATATTTTTGGTTCTAGAGATATATTAAAATGAAACAGACAAGTTTCGTCGTTTTAAATATTTCCGTTTAAAAACCGTAACCAATAAATGATTTTTTTATGCTATTAATTAATTCTCAATTTCATAATGTCTTTTAGAATACTATGGAAGAATCAAAGAGCACTTTAAAGTCTTCTACCACTTTAGAAGACAAAAAATGTCTCACTGAGGGTCAAATTTTGAAAAAACAATTATCAGAAATGAAAAGGTTGCATGAAAAGGAATTGATTGAACTGCGACAAGCAAATATTGATTTGGAATTCGAAAAAAAACAATTGGAAAAAGATTTCAAAAAAGAACACGACGAAAATAAGAATTTGAAATTACAAGTTAAACAGTTGAAACAAATGTTAAATGAATCTAATGAACAACTAAACTAAACTAAAAAATAAACTCCAGAAATTTACGATATTCGCTCTCTTCGTGGTAGGGGCAATGAATCCAAGAGCGATGCCGGCGGTAGCAAAGCTACTGGTAGGGCCACCCATGCCGGTAAGGTCGAGGAGGAGTCCCGAAGCGAAGACCAATCCTTAACAAATCGAATTGTTTTTTAAACGTAAGTAATAAAATCAACTTAATTTTAAATACACACAAAACGAACATACCTATTTATAGGCATATTTACTTTGTTTCATCAAAAACTATGGAGGGAAGCAAAACTTTACGTTATGTTTGTACTCTGACAACCTTAAAAATAAATCTCACTCTCAAAGTGTAATGTCCACCATTCAAAGGTTTAACTCTTTAAATGTTATCCAAGAAAGCAAGAGGTATCATCGACTAGCATCCAATCCGCATACTATTTTGTTTCCTTCAATTCATATGTCCATGAACCTAGCAAAGAGAGGTCTTGTAATGTCCTATGTTCATCAGTAAGGAACAACAATTCATCACGATTCTCGATTAAATATAGTGACATTCGAAGGATGGATTGTAGTAAATTTCATTTAGTTATAGTTGGGTTTCCGATTAAAAACTTACACAAATCTAAAGTTTTTTGTTATCAACTCGTATCATTTTCACTTATATTTACGGTCGAAGTAACATTAAAAAAGATGGAAGATAAAGAAGTACTACGTCGACCACTTTATGCATAGCATCATCTGTGTCTATTATAAAATCAGATAATGGCATACGATGACATTTACCTTAAATAAAGTTGATTTTGATGGAGTTTATACGCTGGAAAAGTGGATAAGACATTTAAAATACTTGCACTATTAGATGTCGCTTACCTTTTGGAATGACCAGGGTAATGTATGAAATTTTAACAATACCTGAAGTTTATTAGTGCATAATAAAATAAATTTTAAATAACACCGACCAAATAATAGAAGAAAATATTAAAGTAATATCTCAAGCACCAGAACCGGTAAACAATGCAAGCTAGTAGAACCGTTGTGTCGATTATAAGGAAAAGAAACAATCAAGTAGCAAAAGAACTGAATGTTATGGTCCTTTGGCTTTTGCACTAAGAGGTACTATTAATCATTTCTTGATTTCATTAGTTTTTAAAACGTCAATTTGAATCACTATTGCTAATATTCAATCTGAATACTCAAATATTTCTATATATTTCTAACAAATAAATAATGTGCTTATTAAAGGTAAGTGCTTACTAGCACGCAATCAAATACGAGGCAAAACTCAGATGTATTCAGCTGTTTATGTTGGTATGATTTAAACAATATTAGCTTAACTGCACGATAATACATACAAATATACCAACTATTATCTCAGCAATATGTGCCCGTGCTTCATGATGGTCAGACTTAACATCACCCGTATTACGAGGGCTGCTATATATATTTCCGGCCTAGGCAACACTAAGTGTTGCCAGATGTAATCTGACATTTAGACGTGGACTATCATGACAAGAGTGCATTGATGAACTTGAATTTTTGCTCAACGACGAATTCCGTGAAGGTCGTCCAAAAACGGCCATTGTGCCAGAGAACACTGATGCTGTGCGTGAACTGATAATGCAAGATCGTCATGTGACATACCGTGAGATAGAGGCATCCTTGGGCATTTCTTCCACCAGAATACATTCGATATTGCATGAACATCTGGCCGTAAAAAAGGTTTGTTCTCGTTGAATCCCGCACAATTTGACAATCGCTCAAAAAAAAGCTCGTGTTGATTGGTGCAAAGAAATGTTGAAAAAATACGTTCGCATCAAAAGACGTTTATAAAATCGTCACAGGTGACGAATCATGGATCTATGCGTATGAGCCCGAAACAAAACAACAATCGACCGTGTTGGTCTTCGAAGATGAGCCAAATCCAACGAAAGTTGTTCGTGGACGAAGCACTTTGAAGCAAATTGTCGGCTGTTTCTTCGGCAAAACTGGTCATGAGGCGAGTGTTCTGCTTGAGCAAAGAAGGACGGTCACTTCGGAGTGATACACGACAATTTGTTTGCCTGAAGTCTTCGGAGAAATTCAAAAACGAACAAGAGAAGACAAATCATTGTTCACTACGACAATGCGACCTCTCACATCGGCTCAAACCAGTACCTTTTTGACCGTACTGCCCTGACTTGGCTCCCAATGACTTCTTTTTATTACCGCACATCAAGAAAAAAATGCGTGGCCAAAGATTTTCGTCGCCAGAAGATGCTGTTGAAGCGTTTAAAAACCATGTTTTGAAGGTGTCTCAATCGGAGTGGAAAAAGTGCTTCGACAATTGGTTTGAGCACATACAAAAGTGTATAAATCAGACTGGAGAATACTTTGAAAAACAATAAAATAATTGTTGATGATATATATTCGCATTTTTATTTTTAGGCCAGATATATATATAGCAGCCCTCGTAGCTGTATAGTCGCCGTAATTCTTATAGTCGTTAATTTCTTCATTTCAACACTGTTTTATTCTAATATAGATTCTATTAAATAAATAATCATCATGTAACGAATAGCTGTATAATAGCCCACAGTAACATTGTTGTCAAGAGTTCTGATTATGAAAATTACCAGAATGTGACTATTAGTCTAAGAATTCAACAAATTTACAAGAAATGCAAAAACGATGTGGCATATTTTATATAAAATTCAACTGTATTGTGTGAATCTATTGGCATGAAAGTTTAAAATAACAATACAAAACACATCTTAGATAAATATCGTGTTAGTAGTTTTCAGTAGTCCTCACATAATTAACACCAGAGGGCATGGAAACCTTATCGAATCCTTTGGGGAATAATTTGGCTGCTTCCTGGTCAGTGACATGAGGAAGAATCATCACTTTAGTACCAGGCTGTAATATAAAGTTAAAACATAATTATATACTTTTCCTCTAATTCAAATTGTTGGTTTACTTACGGTCCAATTAGCTGGAGTAGCAACAACCTTCAGTTTATCAGTCAATTGCAATGAGTCGATGACACGAAGAATTTCACTTTAATAAAAAATATCAAATTACTTTCATCTTCTTTCACTTTATGAAAATTATTCAAACTTACTCGACATTACGTCCTGTGGACATTGGATAGAACATTGACAAACGCACTTTATGATCAGGACTGATTATGAAGAGTGCACGAATGGTTTTACCTATTTCGGGATCCTTCTTTTGATCTTCATCCAACATTCCGAAATTCACTGCCAAGTCACGATCGGGATCAGCAATGATTGGGTATGGAAATTCACCGGGAATATCGAGACAATAGGATTTAATATCGTTTACCCAGTCAACATGGGATTTGAGTGCATCTACAGAATGTGCCAAACACTTAACATTTCGCTTGGCGAACTCTGGTTGGTGCACTGCAATTCGTCCCAATTCAGTGGTGCATACTGGAGTAAAATCAGAGGGATGAGAAAACAAAACAACCCAACTGAAATGAAACACAAGTAAAATGTTTTGTAAAATGTTGGTCCAATGTTAAATGTTTATTAACTTTTTTTAACAAATACGGCCACTGAATCAAGAAACTCGGTGTCATTATATATTCTTTAGTGTAGTTAATGACTTTGAAATAATTTAATAAAGTAATTTAGTTGAATTCACATAAAATAACTTTTACGAGTTTAGTTAATTAAAGACAATATATTTAGGTAATTAAAATTTTGAATATTAACAAAATTATTTACTACATATGCAAATTAAATAATAATAGTTCCATAGAAATGTGACTTCAAAAAATTAAATTAATTTCATTTCAATATTTTCTGTAAATTATTTCAATTTTTATGTATTGATCACAATCACAATTAAATATTTCTTAAAACTGTTTTAGTGAAATGCATTTAAATACTTTAAATATTTTAATCACTCCCAGAACAAACGATTTTATTATTTCGATTATCAAGTGTTCGGTTTTTATCAGACGACCGATCGAATGGCATTAGAATTTTAATATTAAAATGAATTCCAGTTTTTATTATTCACAAAATATTTAAATAATAAAATTTAAAGTCATTGTATTAATTATAATTAAAGTTATAAGGGAGACTTACGATCCTCCCTGCCAATCGTAGAATTGAATTGGTCCTTTGGTGGTCTCAGCTTTGAAATTTGGCACTGTCGATCCCAAACGCATTTTGTAGGAAAATAATTTGATAAAATAATAAAAAGTAAATCACAAAAATATCACGAAAATTATTGAAGACAACGTAGTGTTCACAACCAGAAACAATCGCTTTCTGTTCTCAGTTCTCCGGTGAGCTCCGCATTTATACATGAATTTCGTCGTTATCTGCGAAGCTTTACGTATTGTTCTTGTTGCTTTGCAACTCTTCGGCAACTATACTTCATTTCGTCAGTATACTAACATATTGCTTCTCCTTACTAGTTCTCATAAATTTGTAAACAGAATTTTTCCATCTTTAAGATAAATTTTAATATTTTCGGTTTATAATTAAGATTTATTTGATTTCAACACTACTGCTTTACATTGAGACATAATATATTTCCATATACAGAGCGGGGTTTCTTCCAATTATTTCTGAAAGTATTTATCTCACAAACATAATTATCATATAATTAAAAATTTTACTTAAGGAAAATATGATAAATAAACATTAAAAAAATAATTATAAAGCCAGCAGTGTCGCATATATATACCATATATGTACAAATATTATCGCAAATATTCTTTAATTCATAAATTCATCTCAGAATCAACTAATAGTGCATTATGTCATATACGGGTCTACTATATACAAAACATACATACATTAATAGGTTTTAATATAAAAATAAAAACAATAGGTAATCTTTATGGAAATGACTTAGACCTTATCAAATTCCTTATTCGCTGGTGAATATTGTTTATTTTCTGCTTTTGTTTACTCAGATAAGGGTAATCTAATTTCAGCTCGTCCATCTGAAAACATATTGTTAAGTAAGTGAAGATATTACTCAGTCTCTAATGCTACTATCACAATAAAACAGCTGTGAATTGAGATGACTTAGTACATAAACGAGAAGATTATGGCAATATTAGAACATAGAGACGAAAAATTAGTAAGAAAATTTAACATTATTATTAAAAATAGATAGAAAATAATCAAGATAATTAAAACATTATTATTCAAATATAGTTACAGTTACATATACATATATATTTGCAAAAAAAACTGTTGATAACTGAAAGGAAATTATTATCTAATTATAATAAGGTAATATTATTAAACGGATGTCTGATATATTTAAAAAATATAAGTACATGAGAAGAGTCCCCCATTCCTTCTCAGGAACGGTTAAATGCATAAAAAATGTTTTGAGAGCAACTGTATTGAGAGTTGTCGGCTGTATAATTTTAGTATTAACATTATTTTCAATAGATTCTAGAAAACTTTTTTTGTAAATTGTTGAAACAAAGATTTATAGAAGTTTTCTTCTGATTTTGAGTCACAAATGAACTAGTCCGAAAAACAGTACTTAAGAGATTTTAAATTATTTACCTCATATTTAATAAAAAATATATAATAGATATGTGCATAATAGAATTCGAGAAATCACTTCATTTTTTTCTCAAGTAACTCAATATTTCATATCCTTCGTCATTTGTGATTATGACAAGCAAGTAAATTTCTTATATTTTATTTGATTTGTCTGAGATATGGATGCTAATTAAGAAATTTTTAAAATATAAATGGAAAACATTTTAATAGATCATTTACTGATTTTAAGAACCTTTAACAAATGCTAATGTGAATTTGGACAACTACATCCACTAGCAGTGTCAGATCTAAAACAAGATGTTTTTAAGCGGAAACACTTTCTTTAAATATTGTTCCAAATCTTGATTTATTTCATGGACTTCTACAATTTTTGCAAGCAAATTATTTTTGCTTGTATATATGTGATTTGAATATAGTCTTAACCGCCACTATATTATTAAAGAGCTTCTTCAAAATTCATGCAGTCAACTTTTCCAACGCCACTTAATAAATTTGCTATTATAAAATATCTAATATTTTATTTTCATTAGAACATATAGAATTACCAACTATATACATTGCGATACTTTCTAAGCTACTAATAATACTTGCAGAAAAAGTAGCGCAATGCAGAGTAAGCTCCAAACATAAATTTATGAGCTGAAATAAAAAAACAAACCAAAACAAGTTGTTTACCGGCAGATTTCGGCAACTTTAGTCAATAATATTTTTTTGTTTATTGTTTACTGAGTTTTTATAAACAATTTTTTATCTGATTTAGATTGCTGAAGAGGGAGAAAAATAAAAGCTCGTGTTTAAAATCGAATATTCGCACGCGTCAAGGAAAGGCACATGTCTATGACGAAAACAAAGACCTAAACAAAAAGCAGCTGTTTTTGGATTCACTGGAATTCAATTAAATCTTTGTCTTAGAAACAGTGATTTATAGAAATTTTTAAACAGAATTTTAATAAATACTATTAACGTTTTTTTTCGTATAAGACCATATTGTATGAGTACAACTGCTCTATTACAATATGATCGCATGGATTTAACTATTTACAGTGTAGATTCTATGATAAAGATATTAATGCATTTTAATTACAAGAACATAGATATTTAAGACTCTGAATTCAGCTGTGAAATATATACATTATATATTGACTATATATTGTGAATATATATTGACTATTTTTCCCTAATCGATTTTACTTCTCCTATGTATCCCAATGTTATGAAATGGTGTTGCTTTACCAATAAAGAATTTAATAACTCCTCTTAAAGTCCTTTCTGCAGAAGCTAATTTCGGACTTGGGGTACGCTTAGGAAATGGAAAATAAGTTGGTTATAGCAAAGTTTACTGTTGAACGGATTATGCCTCCATAGCACATTTCTGGTTTAACTTTATTTTTAACTCATTTTACGTAACGCTTATTGGGCTGGTCAAAAATTCTTCAAACGGCTATAAGAAGACTATTGTATTATACTAGGTGTAGCTCGGTGGAGAAAGAGCATACTATCAATAATCTGTTATGATACTGCGCAGTATTTGATATAAAGTCTTTGAAAAAAGTAAAGTAAACTAAAATTGGTTTAATTTTGGTTCTGTTCGAATTAGCTAGTGTGATATTATAATAGGCTCACATAAAGAACCTAAGTCAGCGACGTCTTCTTGAACGAATGAACAAGTAAGTTCTGGTAAGTTCGAATTAAAAGAATATAGGCAGTGTATAGTGGAACGTAAAACTTAATCATCTTGTACTCTCCTGTAGTATAAATAATTATGCTCTGGGGATTCTAGAATCGTACTGTAGTTGTTTGTGGATCTGAGCCCGTTAAACTAAAAAGATGTTGGTTAAGTGTAAAATTAAAGTGGATACAATTTGCGATAGCTGAGTGATATGTAATATGGAGGTTAACAACGCGACTCTATGATCAAAAAGTGTTTGTTGGTCCGAAAAACCGTCAATGAATCATTAGAAATTATTAAAAGTTATTATTAACCAAGAAGAAATCAAGGACGACGTCTATATACTTAAGATCCGAAGGACCACTAATAAATTTTTTAACTATTGAAGAATTATACAATTCAAATTCTTTACAGTACATAATATATTAAGATATTTCTATAGGATGTTCTAACAAATAAAGTCTCTAACAATGATAGCTGGATTAGGCATAAAAGTTCATCAAGAAACTACAGCGAATCAATATTTATTCTCTTTCACTCAATAAATAACTTTAGCGGAAATAAATAAGTTCCTTTTATGATTTTCCAGGTTTAATGATCGTTACTAATGTAACCAACAAACTGCACAAAAATCCTTTAATCCGAGAAGGGAAAGATCATCATTATTGATCTCAAAATTTTTTTACTGTTCTTCTATTCTTTTTTTATTAACATACGTTGAATATAAATAATTGTGGCACTTTCCATATAATTAATCTATCTAAAGTACCACATAAAGTACCATATTAATCTATTCACATTAATAATGAATGGGTACAGTTCCACTTAAAACTTAAAATTGTTATCAATGCTTGGAAACAAAACAACAGCATTTGTTTATAGAGCAAAGATATGAAATGTTTTGATATCAGTGAGTAGCCAGTTTTCTATAGTTAACATCATACAAACACTTTTGTACAATAATATTTTGTTTAATTTTATTAGTTTTATATACAGATTAGATTATTATGACACCTTTCACAAGATCTTTGAATATTACGTCGGTCATTTTATGTTCAAATGCTGTAAATAATAATCAAAATGATTTCTCTGTAGTCCATTGCATTATACAGGGTTATTTTTTTTGTGCTTTCAAAAATAAAAGTACTTAAGACGCACTTCTTATATCAATAAAATTGTTTACCCACCATTAGATGAGAAACGCATCATTCAAGTGTTTTCACAAGTTCTAATACACTGCTAGATCATTTAAAGACAATTTTCACTGAATTTTTGACGGATGTTTATTTCCAAAACGTGGATAGATTTAGATGGTTTCCATAAACACAAGTTTTTGTGTAAATCTACAAACAACTGCACATCATTGAAACGCGATATTACACATCATCGCACAACAGAGACAAAACAGGACGTGGTCTGTATCTCGTAGCTTGTACGACTGTTCTATTAAAACCACATATCTTCTATATTCATACCTTAAATTTCACGTAAAACGAAATCGGAAACTATATCGCTATCATTATCAGAATTGACGTATTTATTCAACATTTTCAAAAAAGTGTGAACCTATCACATCTCCAGACCATGTATTGGCTTTTTGTGGATGATGAATGCAATACTCTGTCAAAAGTTGCTTGAATATTTTTACTGTCCCAAATCCGAATTGACAGGACCACGTATATTAAAATTATATAAGCTCACTGGACACAATTATTTTTTTTAAGAAAGAAACTTTTACTAAATTCTGATACTTTACTGTCTGTAAAATATAATCTCACACAATTACTAACAAATTAATTGATTTAGAACAAATACAAGAAGTAACTTTTTATGAAAATCAACTTTATTTTTTCAATTTCTGTGTATAAAAATTTAACATCATCAGTACAGTACACAGAGCACATCTCAACTAAACACTGTTTTAATAATTTTCAGTGGTTCTCACATAATTAACACCAGATGGCATGGAAACCTTATCGAATCCTTTGGGGAATAATTTGGCTGCTTCCTGGTCAGTGACATGAGGAAGAATCATCACTTTAGTACCAGGCTGTAATATGAAGTTAAACATAATTATATACTTTTCCTCTAATTCAAATTGTTGGTTTACTTACGGTCCAATTAGCTGGAGTAGCAACAACCTTCAGTTTGTCAGTCAATTGCAATGAGTCGATGACACGAAGAATCTCACTTTAATAAAAAATATCAAATTACTTTCATTTTCTTTCACTTTATGAAAATTATTCAAACTTACTCGACATTACGTCCTGTGGACATTGGATAGAACATTGACAAACGCACTTTATGATCAGGACTGATTATGAAGAGTGCACGAATGGTTTTACCTATTTCGGGATCCTTCTTTTGATCTTCATCCAACATTCCGAAATTCACTGCCAAGTCACGATCGGGATCAGCAATGATTGGGTATGGAAATTCACCGGGAATATCGAGACAATAGGATTTAATATCGTTTACCCAGTCAACATGGGATTTGAGTGCATCTACAGAATGTGCCAAGCACTTAACATTTCGCTTGGCGAACTCTGGTTGGTGCACTGCAATTCGTCCCAATTCAGTGGTGCATACTGGAGTAAAATCAGAGGGATGAGAAAACAAAACAACCCAACTGAAATGAAACACAAGTAAAATTTTTTGTAAAATGATGGTCCAATGTTAAATGTTTATTAACTTTTTTTAACAAATACGGCCACTGAATCAAGAAACTCGGTGTCATTATATATTCTTTAGTGTAGTTAATGACTTTGAAATAATTTAATAAAGTAATTTAGTTGAATTCACATAAAATAACTTTTACGAGTTCAGTTAATTAAAAACAATATATTTAGGTACTTAAAATTTTGAATATTAACAAAATTATTTACTACATATGCAAATTAAATAATAATAGTTCCATAGAAATGTGACTTCAAAAAATTAAATTAATTTCGTTTCAATATTTTCTGTAAATTATTTCAATTTTTATGTATTGATCACAATCACAATTATATATTTTTTTGAAACTATATTAGTGGAATGCATTTAAATACTTTAAATATTTTAATCACTCCCAAAATAAACGATTTTATTATTTCGATTATCAAGTGTTCGGTTTTTATCAGACGACCGATCGAATGGCATTAGAATTTTAATATTAAAATGTATTCCAGTTTTAATTATTCACAAAATATTTAAATAATTAACTTTAAAGTTAATTAAGTCTTAGAAATCTTTGACTTAATTATAGTTGAAATTATAAGGGAGACTTACGATCCTCCCTGCCAATCGTAGAATTGAATTGAACCTTTTGTGGTCTCAGCTTTGAAATTTGGCACTGTCGATCCCAAACGCATTTTGTAGGAAAATAATTTGATAAAATAATAAAAAGTAAATCACAAAAATATCACGAAAATTATTGAAGACAACGTAGTGTTCACAACCAGAAACAATCGCTTTCTGTTCTCAGTTCTCCGGTGAGCTCCGCATTTATACATGAATTTCGTCGTTATCGCTGAGCGTCGATCGCTTATCGAAGTAGATTTCGTTTTTGTTTGTGCCTCACCAAATAACTGAATTATTAAATAGTTTGTAGTTGTATTTCTTCTTACTTGTTTTTATGCATATAAAGATATATTATATATTATATATTATGTATATATATTTATGAATTATATTATGTATTATATTATATATTATGAATTATATATATACAATATAAATAAGTTTTTGTATTTTTGTGTTTTACTTATCGACTTATTTTAATGCAATTGTATTTTGTATGAAATGATGTCAATGGGGAGAGGAAAGTTGTAGTCCATGTTTTGAAACAACATGTATTCGTATTGTGGAAGAGTTTAAAGTAGTTGTTCAAAATTTAGTATTTTTTTTAAGCAGAAAAAAATAAAATGAAATTCTTCTGTGACATAGTTTTTAAGATGGAGTTTCTTTTAAGATGGGCGTTTTCGATTCACCGGTTTTCGAACCCCCCCTAAATTGTCCACAAACATGATTCAGTTTTTAATTTGTTTTGAAATATTGATATTTATATCTTAAAAACTACAAATGCAGATAATTTTATTATGGTTTCTCTTATTTCTAACATGTTGTTCGATGGGAGGTGATTATGTAACGAAGAGAAACAAAAGTTTATTTTTTCCATACTTTTGCCATGAAAATTATTAATATATATAAATTTACTCTTTTTTTTAATTAAACTTATATTTTAATAATAGATATTAATAACTAATATTTTCTTAATTTGATTTAAAAGATGTCACTACGAGAAGCACTATTCAAAAGTCATATACCATATATTAAAATACTTTATTGATGAGAAATATAAAACAAAATGTGAAATGATGATGAAAATGACGAAAATGAAATTGGTAAACAACGTAAGGGACATTTTAAAATTTGTAGAATACAACAGCGTGAATGGAAAACCAGAACAACGTAATGATCGAGCTAATTTAAAGTGGTGTTCATATTAAAAAAAAAACAGGTGAATATCTAACAAAACTTTAACTAAAATCTAACGATCAGTATAGCAGAACATCAATAACTTATAAAACTAAGAGAGCAATAACGGAAACAACTCTATGGTTTGTGCAAATCTATAACTGCAATATTTTACGAAAGATATCTGGAGAGTTAAAACCTTTTTCCGCCTGAAAACAAATCTTCTGAGTGGTATATTGGTACGTAAAATTATGAAATCCTCTATTTATCTAGGATCCAGCATAAATAACGATAATGATATCAGCCTACAGATTCGAAGAAGAATTCAAGTTCAAGTGTCTCTTATCAGGCCTATTCTGTTGTAAAATATAGAAGCTTAAAAACTAAATATAATGTGGATTTCAATTTTACATCTGATACACACGATAACATTATCGTAGGCATGCGGTTGATAATATCGAATAGAAAATATTTTGTTTCGCTAGTTGCCGGTGGAAAATGCGGTCGAGGACATTCACATCTGACTGTTCTTGGAACTACCAACCAATAATAGCAAACCGCTGATCGGGTTGACTGAAATAAGCAATGAGATGTGGTAAAGGATACTACACATCTGTGATGGTCTATAAAAGTCAACTAAGTAAGTATAAATAATGTTTCTTAATATGTATTTGCTAGTTATTGTGTTTTTGTAAATTTTAGTTTAATTAACTGCATTGCTAGTCTTAATGAAAATATACTTAATTAAAAATTTTATGAAGGCTTTTTAAAAAAGTACTTAAATTTTTTTAATGAAAACTTATTAAATATATTTATGTAAGAAAACTGACACAATTTTTTTTTTTATAATAAAATTTATATAGTATCGGTTCGCTTAAAAAATACATTATAAACTGCATATTTAAATTCTAATATTAAATGAATTCTAAATTAAGCATAAAAAAAATTCAAGTTTCCGTAAAAGTAAACAACACGCCCGACTTATGTGTGAATAATTAGTATTCTCCTCAAAAAAGTTTTGTTTTTACTATTAATATGACTTGTTGTTATTGAAGTATACCTTCTGACTATTATAGATAGAAATTTGTGTATGGAATTTCAAAAAGTCTCGCTATGAATTGAAATGTAAATTTTTAAAATATACACACTTATATATGCCGACTAAAATGAAGTATTGATGAAAATTTATAAAATGAACCACCATTCTAACTTTATATAGAATATTTTTAATAAAATTGGAGTATTTATAGGTGCTTCCTTCAATATACCCTATTTATAAATTTTTTGTCAATATTTTTATATAGCATATATCAAACTAGTTCTTTGTCGATCGTGTACCGTTTTCCCTACATCGTTCTCTAAAGCTAGCAACGTATCTACTGTGACATCAGACACCATTGGGTATATTGAGATCTCTTTGAATAATGAAATTTTTCACAATCTGCCTGATGACTTTGTTTTATTTTATGTTGAGGTTTTTCCGAGTTAGTGTAACTAGGTACTTTTACTTTTGCTAAGCTGGGAAGTTTCTGCAGAGGTCCTACCTTCTCTTTGACTAATTTATGTATTCCTCACAAGCTTCGCTGATTATTCGATGACTGATCTAAGACCTGTATACCGTCCCGTACGGTTAGTGACTGTTTTTAGATTAGATAGTGCTATGTAGGGCAGCCTGTCAATTTTCGCGTATAAATTCAGGGCTCTGTCCCTTATATATTTTGGACCGCGTCTATTCTGAGGTCTCTTAGCATGTCATTCGTGCGCATGTACTATGCCACTTTGAAAAGCCTTCGGAGAGCCTGACTTTGAGCAACTTGTAGCTTCTGGTTAGCAGCTTTGCTACACGCGACAAACCTGTAGAGAAGTGCCGTTCTGATAATCTGGGAGTAGATCAATTTTCTGTTCTTAGCGCTAAGGTTATTGTGTTTGAAAAGTGTCCGTAAGCAATGCATTGCTTTCGCACAACTACTTCGTTGGTCTTATATGTACTTGTGCCAAGTGAACCGCTTCTTAAACTTGATTTTCAGGTATTTGATACTGCCTTCCCAGTTTTTCGTAATGTCACCAACTCACACTCTCGATGGATGCTGCCTGCGTTTACGAGTTGTAGACAGGTGTTTTATAATGTTTGCAATTTTTCTATCTTCGAGATCCTCTACACCATACATCCCCAAGTCCAATATTATATACATATAACTTTAGCTGTTTGAATAAACTGTTTGAGAAATTGGAGGTTTTTTGTCTAAACATTTCGTTTTATTAAACTTCTCTTTGACACCTTAAATGTTAGTAAATATGAAACCCAACTTCTCTTATAACCCTTTTTTGATTTTTTAGACTAATAATCTTTCTCCCGCCATATTTGCCACATATTAAAAAATATGTATATGAAAAGTATTATTTTTTCTCTATTTAGCAGCTGTTTCTATTAGAATATGTCCCCAAATCATAAATATATGTGTGTAGGTATGTACTACTTTTCCATTTCTGTAAACAATTTTTTCCTTAAGCGTTTGGCGTGTGTTATGATTTCAGATAGATAGATTTTTTACCGCTTTTTTTTCAAAACAGAAGCCGATAAAATAATTGTTTAAACAAATCATAAACAAAAGCAATAGTTAATATGTGTCATTCATTGCCTTAAACAGACGGTAAACAACTTATTATTAAGTTTTAATCTTATTTCATGGGTCACATTTCGACTATAAATACTAGTCGTGCTGCGCTACATTTCTGTCTAGTATTTCAAGCTGTAATAGGGCATTTAAATATCTTTTAAATTAATTTTATTAAGTTTTCACTTAACAATTTAAAATTCTTTAATTTAAATAAAATTACTTGAAAGAACAGAGAACTTTCGCGTGATATTTTCAATTACGAACTTGTTATTTTTACATGATCGCATGATATTTTCAATTAATACTTCTAGATCTATTAATGTTGCAATTTCTATGTTAAGTTATAAAAGTATATAATACATATATAAGTTATTTATTTTAATTTTATAATATTTTATTTTTGATGAATATATATGGTTCAGTTAATAACCCAAGTAAAAGTGAATAAGCACACTTTCCTGGAGTTGAGAGCTACCAAATCCAAACGTGACTTTTCCAGAAACACAACTTGATGTCCCATTTCGCAAAAATCATGCGTTCGAATAATATCGTATAGTTCTACCGTTAATGAAACCAAGCGCGAAGGCCGGATTCAAGAAGCTGCGGGTGTTAAATTATGTAAGGTATGTGAGAAATTAAAAAATAAAAAATATTGTTACTATTTTTATTTTAAATTGATAATCAAAGATTAATATATATATATTAGAAATTAAAAAAGAAGATTCCTATAAAAAAATAAATTAAATTAAAAAAGTTACTATAGTCCACCTCAGGACGCACAGGAAGATATGCTGATCTACGGTACGTTATCAGTTAAAAGATAAATAAATGATAATAATTCTAGTATAGTTAAAGCTTAGTGTGGGGCAGGGATAAGTCCCCCAATTATAAAAGAGGAAAAGTGCGCAATAGCACTTACTCAAACCACAACAACAACAACAACAACTATAGTTTTAGTTTTAATAGTCTTTCTAATCAAAAGGAATTGATTTCAGTTCTAATTGCAATAATTAGTTTATAAAAAGTTTTTAATATACTTTTGTTAAATTAACATGAGATTACCATAACCATGATTAGTTATTTACTTACTTACTTAGTTGGCCATTACAGACGTAAGTCGTTCTTGACCGCGTCGAGTAGCCTCCGGCAGCTAGCCCGATTAGTTGCTTGCTGTCGTCAGTTGGTAGTACTGAGCGCCCTCACCAAGATCAGTTACTTTGTACTATATCTTAATTCAATGTATATAAAATTAAAAATTAAGTAAATTTATACCCAACTGATTCAATTTTTATTCTCTAGTTTTTTGTAAAATAAAAGATAGACATCTACCCTAATTTAAATGGAATGTTTGCTTAGCAATTTTAATTTTCATAAAATGTGCGAGGAAAATTTTAACTTGTCGTTGAAAACATGGTCCAAAACATGGTTTTTAAATGCAACAATGGCTTCCGCTTCATCCACCGACAAAACTCGTTGTCCACGCAATTTTCTAGTATTCTTACGAATAGTCGGTTGTTAGACGAGATATATGAGTACTCGCATTGTCTTGATGGCGATGGAGAATGATCGACGGCGCTTGTTTGTTTTCCGTATTTCACTGAAGACTTTCGGTAAACAAATGGTTAGATACCATTTGGAATTGACTGTTTTACGTTCCTGTAATAGTACTCGTATAGTTACCACATGACCAGTTTTACCGAAAAAACCAGCAACCGTTTTTTTGGAAGTGCTTCGAGTGCGCACAACTTTTGTTGGATTTACTTCATTTTGATACACCCATACAGGCGACTGCTGTTCACGTTCTGGCTTATACCAGAACATGAACACCTGTTCCAATCTTCACGAATTTCGTCAGTGAGCGAACTGCGGCCACAATTAAAATCATTGTACCAGCGTTTTATAGTGACAAAGGATGTACATTTTACTTCATCGCTAAATGTAGAAATAAGTTGATCGATGCACTCTTGCCCTGATAAACCACGTCCACGTCGAAGGTCGTAATAAATCATTGCACGAAAATTTTCTCGCGTTAATTCCATTTTTTTCAATTTACAAAACACTGTAAATACGAGTTACACAAATAATGCTCTTTTGACAAAAAGTCTAAGGCAGATTATGCTTAAAATGTCCAATGTCAAACTTTCATAATGAAACGTCAGATGACACTGGACAACAATCAGTATTGCCAAGACTCAAAATATAAATAGTCACCCTCGTAAAACAAATCTGCCATTTACCTCTTCAAACCCCAGTTGATATATCAAATAAGTCTCTATAAATACGTCTGTAATTTAAAAATCAGTTTAAGTCACTTATTGATAAGGCATTTAATATATGGTATTTGGACTATAGACTTTCAAAGCTCATATCCATATGTTAGCAGCAACTTATCTCTGGCATAATTCAATATTAAAATAATAATAGGCCTTTCCTTTTGTAAGCATGTTACAAAAGAACAAATAAAATAAGCAGTGTGGTTTCATATGTTATTTTTAAAATAAGCAGTTCTTCTTTTGCGATACGCTTACAAAAGAAAAGGACTAATATAATTATTTTATACCCGAAAATGAAATAATTATAAATATATAAAAAAATTAACTTTAAATCTAAACTTCAATCATCAGTATCTGAAAACAATTCGTATGAGCTAAAATTTGATGACATTAAATAATACAAGACTGACTATATGTTAGAGTTTATAACATTGTTTGGAGAAACTATATGTGTACTTAATGCTGTTTGTATACAACTATATATAGCTTCTAACTCACTAAAATTACCTGTTCAAATTGTAGCGCCATACGACTAAAATAAAAAGCTGAAGAAATATTTGAATAATAAAATCGTAATTTGATAGGAAAAATGTTTGTTTACCGACTGATTAAGGTAATGACTGGCATAACCTATAGTTTTAATTTGTTGCCTACTGTTTACTGTTTATTAAAAACAAACTGTTTTTATCGATTTATAGATTATTAATGCAATATGAAAACAAATGTGTAAATAGAAAAAAAATAATAATGAATTTTAATAGCAAATATATGTATACATATACATACTCCTATAAGCAAGATCTCAGAAGTACAAAAACCGCTACAAAATTACATGTCTTTTATATTAATGAGATATTTATGTACATATGTATATGTTATCTATATTTTTTATTTTTTTTTTAAGTAATTAACAAAAATTCAAATGAGTATTTTGACACAATGAAGTATATCGAGTAGAGTATTTTCCTACTCAATATATTAAATAATAAACCTACAAACCGATATTAGTTTCAATCTGTATTATGGCTCATCCATTTTACTGAAATCCAAAGAGTATTTCCTTAATCATATATTATATTATGTAGATAATTGGCTAATAAGATCTGAACACATTGAATATTTTAATAAATTCATCCAGAGACAGTGAAACTAGCTCTTCCATTCCTATTTTAAACACTAGTTGAAGTGTATTAATCTCAGGGCAGGGGATGAAGAGCATCAGCAATACTTTTCATAATTTTTGCGATGAAGATTTCAGAAAAAATTTTAGATTTTAACGATCTGCTACTAATCATTTGACGAGTATATGCATATATGCGTATATGCAATTAATTAAATTTAATACTTTAATAGATTTATTTCTAAATTTCAATCACGAAATATAAAACAATTGTGGTGGTTATAATCGGAGGAGATTTATATATTTTTATGGTATAATATAAATACAAACATCTTTTGAAAAATTGGTATTTTTTGGTATATCAAAAGCTGCTGCGTGGAGAATAATTGAAAGAGCTAGTGCTTGACTCATGTCAATTGGACATCAATTTATAAAGTAACCAAATACGGCCGAAACACTTTTTAATATGGCAAAAATGACATCTATGAAAAAACGTCCGTTCATAATTGGTTGCATAGACAGCACACATATTAAAATAAGTGTTCCGCACCGTAGCTAGAAGGCTTATTCTAATACGAAGCATTATTAGAGCTTAATTTTGCAGGCAGTTTGCGATGTAAATGGTCTTTTTATAAACGTGTATTTTGAAGATCCTAGTTCCTTATACGACAGCCGACTTTTGCGCAGATCCCAACTGTATAGTACAGCATAAATTACAAACAAATTCCCCAAAGGTACTTTTCTCTTAGAAGATTCTGTATATCCTTATTTAAATTGGTCTGTTAGTCCATTCAAAGATAATGGTTCTTTGTTATTCGCCCAAAGAGAACTTTATTATAGCAATAATATGATCTATTTGTGTTAAGAAAAGAGGAATGTAGTTAAGCTGTTTGGGTCATAGTTTTACAATACGATGAAATGTTTGATCATGACCTACAAAGCTTTAGTAGTTTAACACCAAATATACTTGGCATAGGCTACATCTATTAGGTACTTAATATTTTCTCACTTTGACATGAAATTACTTCTTAGCCTCATTAACGTACGTATATGTATTTAAATTTCGTTCGATCAATTGAACTACATATACTTACGAACTTGCTTTAGGGGCAACAATCTTCCGCTAAGATTAATTGAATTCCAGTGAATCTAAAAACAGCTGTTTTTTGTTTAGGTCTTCGTTTTCGACATAGACATGTGCCTCTCCTTGACGCGTGCGAATATTCGATTTTAAACACGAGCTTTTATTTTTAGGTTTTTTTCTCCCACTTCAGCAATCTAAATCCGATAAAAAATTGTTTATAAAAACTCAGTAAACAATAAACAAAAAATATTATTGACTAAAGTTGCCGAAATCTGCCGGTAAACAACTTGTTTTGTTTTGCTTTTATTTCAGCTCATAAATTGATGTTTGGAGCTTACTCTGCATTGCGCTACATTTTCTGCAAGTATTATTAGTAGCTTAGAAAGTATTGCAATGTATATAGTTGGTAATTCTATATGTTCTAATGAAAATAAAATATTAGATATTTTATAATAGCAAATTTTTTAAGTGGTGTTGGAAAAGTTGAATGCATGAATTTTGAAGAAGCTCTTTAATAATATAGTGGCGGTTAAGACTATATTCAAATCACATATATACAAGCAAAAGTAATTTGCTTGTAAAAATTGTAGAAGTACATGAAATAAATCAAGATTTGGCACAATATTTAAAGAAAGTGTTTCCGCTTAAAAACATCTTGTTTTAGATCTGACACTGCTAGTGGAAGTAGTTGTCCAAATTCGCAATCACATTTGTTGAAGGTTCTTAAAATAAGTAAATGATCTAGAAAAATGTCTTCCTTTATATTTTAAAAATTTCTTAATTACCATCCATATCTCAGACAAATCAAATAAAATATAAGAAATTTACTTACTTGTCATAATCACAAACGACGAAGGATATGAAATATTGAGTTACTTGAGAAAAAAATGAAGTGATTTCTCGAATTCTATTATGCACATATCTATTATATATTTTTTATAAAATATGAGGTAAATAATTTAAAATCTCTTAAGTACTTTTTTCGGACTAGTTCATTTGTGACTCAACATCAGAAGAAAACTTCTATAAATCTTTGTTTCAACAATTTACAAAAAAAATCTTCTAGAAGCTATTGTAAATAATGTTAATACTAAAATTATACAGCCGACAACTCTCAATAGAGTTGCTCTCAAAACATTTTTTATG